GGGGGATCTGTGGCGGGGTGCTGGGCAGTGAGGGGGTGGGGTGCTGGGCAGGGGGGAGGTTTGCGTGTTTTGGGGTGCTGGGCAGTGGAAGATCTGTGGGGGGGCGCTGGGCAGTGGAAGATCTGTGGGGGGGCACTGGGCAGTGGGGGATCTGTGGGGGGCACTGGGCAGTGGGGGGGTCTGTGGATGGAGAGGCGCTGGGCGGAGGGTGGTGGCGTGGTCTTGGAGAGGTCTCTGGGCGGCAGGAGTGCTGGGCATAGGGGACTGTGGGGGACGGTCTCTGGGCGGGGGGGCAGTGTGGTGCAGCGCACTGGCTGCCTTCAGAGTGGGGTGGCCAGAAAGTGGCAGCTGCTGGCTGGGCCCCGAGCTCTGGAGGCAGTGCTGCCGTCAGCAGCTGCCCCGAAGTCACAGTGGGCCCGGTACTGACTGATGAGTCATTGAAAGAGTTCCTGCTTGTACAGTACAGCGTTAGGCACACATCTTCCAACGATTTTCATGGCTACTGGATGAGCAACCAACCACTGCTGAGAAAGATTCGCTCTACCGAGGAATGTGCCTGGGTACAACAGGAAGAGATGCCGTAGAAAAGGCCTGACTGCATGTAAAAAGGTACATTTCAATTTGCTGTACATTTATTTTTGAGGCCTTTACACTTGTTGTTGATAAATGTTAGGTAGTAAAGGTAAAAAGAAACTGTTTAGTAGAAACTTGTACCCTCGTCCTCCTCCAACCCCCTCTGTCCTTGGCAGTGTTCTCTATTTGGGAACTTGAAATAGGGTAACGCTAAAACTGTCAAAGGTCTGGGACATAGAACATGGCTGAGATTTCTCTCACTGGCCCTATTAGCAGCTACACACTGCAAACATGTCGCAGTGGAACCATTATCCTGTAACACAATGTACAGGAGAGGGGAGGAGCCCTGAGAAGTCACATGGCAACTGCGTGGTCTAGTGGGAGACCCTGGGACTGGGACTATCCCTAGCTCTGCCACTGGCCTGCTGGGTGACCTTGGGCAAGTCACTTCCCTTCCCCATGCCTCAGTTTCCCGTCCATGAATGGGGGACAATGATATACAATTCTTTGAGATGTCCTGGTGAATAGCACTGTGTAAGATTTAGGTATTAGCATTACCTGGCCATAGGGTGCCTCAGCTGCACATCTGCATGATAATTACAACTGCCTAAATGACCATGAACTCCTACAAACATTTCTCTTCCTGTAGGAAACACCCAGGAGCCTGCTTGACTAAAAACATGGTTCCGGCAGAGTTGTGGTTGCCCAGAGGGACATTGGGCCTTTCCAAAACATCCAGTTCAGCACAGCTCAAACGTCTGAAAGCCAGGAAATACAGAGGAGAGGTAAACGCCCAGACAACCCGAACTCAGCACCCCGGAGCTGGCAACACTGTAACTCCAGCTGTGCAATCACCCTGCTAGGTGCAGCTGTACTGAGTGATGGAGACATTAGCTGGAGCAGCGTGGTAGAGAAATGACTGTGATATGAGGTGATCCCTCCTCCCCTCTGGGTGTGTGATCAGTGGAATGAGGAGCACATGTTCCTTGGGGGATCCAGTATGCACCATTTCAGTGCTCCATTGTATTGGTCGTGTCATAGCGGGACACCGTGGTCTTCTTGGAAGAGTAAGCGAAAGAGCAATGGCAGTGTGTGCAGAAGGGTGACGGGGATGTAAAACTGAGCAAGTGAGAGGATGTTTCTGGGGGTAGATTCAGTGTCTGACTGTAGAACAGGTGTAGGTAGCTCCTGGTCAGTACAGCTCATCTAAACACAAGGTCTGCCTTAGCACAGGGAAGGTGTTTGAATTTGTGCTGCAGCTGACATGGGCCCTATTCCCCGAGGGACATGCACTGTCTGCAAAGGCAGAGGGTGAGTATGTGTGTTAGGGGTGTACTGGGGCAACACTGAAAGAGGGCAGAGTTAAGGGTGTGGGGGCTTGTAGCTAACTCTGTATTTCCTGGTGTTCACAGGCTGGAGTTTTGCTGAACTCGCTGTTCTGGAAGGGCCCAAGCTATTGCCAGGCAAGCTGAACTCTGCATTAATAAGATTTGTTAGATTTGTTTATCAATGAAGGATAATTGCTCCTGCCTCCCCTTGCCCCGTTACATTAGCAGCTGATGAGCAGGAGTCACTCCAGTTTTAGCCTATAGCTCCTCTCAGGCCAGCTAAACCGCCAAGTTGAAACCACCATCACACTTGAGTGAAGCCCTTTATGTGTTTGCACAGCACCTACCGCAGTGGGGCCTGATGATTGATTTATGCTGCAGCAATACAGAAAATAAAAAAGAAGATTTTCTGGGGCATCATCTTACTTCTCCAAATAACTGTTTTCCCAGGGGCTGAAGACAGGAATCATTTAACCTGACACTTAATGGCAGAGGGAAAATGAAAAAGAAAACAGAAAGGGAAGCAGAAAACATCCCTTGCTGGTGATGCTGTTCATTGGTAACATGTTTCCTGCACTGAATCTGCTTCAGGAGACCCTCTGCACTGGTGATAGATAATCCTAACCCTATAGAATATATAACTGGAGTTCACTGATCCATCTTTAATGCAATGGTTAAAACATCCCAATCAGAAATCCTGGAAATCTCATCTGGTCTCTCTCTCATTTTTTTGCAATCACTTTAAGAATTTTTGATGATGGTTAAGTCCGTTAATGGCTATTAGCCAGGCTGGGTAAGGAATGGTGTCCCTAGCCTCTGTTTGTCAGAGGGTGGAGATGGATGGCAGGAGAGAGATCACTTGATCATTGCCTGTTAGGTTCACTCCCTCTGGGGCACCTGGCATTGGCCACTGTCGGTAGACAGGATACTGGGCTGGATGGACCTTTGGTCTGACCCGGTACGGCCGTTCTTGTGTTCCTATGATATTTGATGCACTGGATTGTTTGCTCTTATTTGAATTTTTCATCCTCAAGAGCCTTGCTCAGAACTTTCTGAGCATCTTCCGCGGCCTCATTCAGAAAGCTCTGCAGCATGTAGTACGTGGTCCCAAAAGAAACTCCTGCAGCCAGCAGAGACCCCACCACTGGTACTGGGATAAAACTCAGAGCCGTTTCAGCTGCCATCGCTGCACCACATGCAGCCTTGCTTAGCAGCTTGATTACAAGCTCTTTAGATATTTCTGCAGCCAGTGGGGACTTTATAACCGCCCTCAGCTCTGGGACGGTCGTCCCCACCCTGTTGGCGAGATTAGTAAGTGAGGTTGTATCCAGTCCAAAGGCCTTACAGTAACGTCTCATGGATGTCACCAGGATGATAATATCACAAGCAAGACCAAGACCTGGGAGAGGGATGGCAGCGGCAGCAGAAGACACAAGGGCTAGTTTCCATATCTGCTTCTGCAGTTCAGCCTTTTTCTTTTCCAGGATCTTTTCCGAGATGTTGGGCAGGGCCAGGATGAAAATGAGTCTTTTGTGAGCATCCAGTTCCCGCTCCAGTGTCTCCTGCAGGAAGTGGAAATCATATTTAAGCAGTTCCCAACTGGAGATCAGGAAAACCCGTGGGGAGGCCTCACCTGCTTCCCTCAGGTTCTTGATGCAGTTCTCTCGGATGACCTGCAGGATCTGTTCCTCATTGTAGGTGCTGGGCCGGCGGATCTGAGCTGCGTACAAGTCGGCATCCACTTTGGAGCGCACATAATAAAACCTCTTCCCCATCTTGTGAATCTCCTGGGCGAGGCTGGTGTGGTGGGAAGTGAAGCGCTCTGAGGCGATGATGATGAAGAAGTCGAAGTTGTTGAATTTTACCTGCTTGAGGTATTTGTCTGGCTGAAAATTGGGTGTCCCGATTCCTGGCAGGTCCCACATCGTTACGTTGGGGAGTACAGGGTGTGGATAAGCCTTTGGCTCCATCGTTGTTTCTACCACCCCAGTCTCAGCGGCACCTTCATCTTCATCTCCCAATCCCAAGATGGCGTTGACAAAGGATGATTTTCCAGAGCCTGAATTCCCTGTGACTGCAATGTGCAGTGGGGTATTTTCTGATGACTCCAGAGACTTTTTCAGTTTCGCTGCTATTTCTGGGAGGTTTCCTGTTCTGGCAGCAGCTTCTAATTCTTCACTGTCCTCTTTGGAGAACATTGGCATGTAAGCTGCTGGCAATGGGTCACTGGGTTTTAGCTGCAAGTCTTAGAAAAGGGAAAGAAAGATTGCAATTAGTTATTTTATCAGACAACGTCACCAGAGCTGGTTCATCTGTAGTTTGTTGAGGGACAAGGTTAATTTCAACACCATGAGTTTAAAATGCACAAGTTTGTAATGGCAATGTAACAATGGATAATAATATAATATATGGAGATACACCTATCTCATAGAACTGGAAGGGACCCTGAAAGGTCATTGAGTCCAGCCCCCTGCCTTCACTAGCAGGACCAAGTACTGATTTTTGCCCCAGATCCCTAAGTGGCCCCCTCAAGGATTGAACTCACAACCCTGGGTTTGGCCAATGCTCAAGCCGCTGAGCTATTCCTCCCAGCCGTGGACGGGATGATTTTCCAGTCTATTGTTTGCAGTGTTGCCGTAGCTGTGTTGGTTCCAGGCTATTAGCGAGAAGGTAAGTGAGGTAATAGCGTTTGCTGGACCAACTTCTGTTGGTGAAAGGGACAAGCTTTCAAGCTCTGCTGTACGTGCTGGGCCGGTAGGTCTGAGCCACATACAAGTCAGCATCCATTTTGGAGCTCTGTGGAGTTTGAAATCCTGTCTCTTTTGCCAACAGAAGTTGGTCCAAAAAACGGTATGACCTCATCCACCCTTCCTACATATCACAATGAACATCACCATGACATGCCTCACATCCCGGCTCACACAGCCCAGTAGGACCATCCTAATGGGAGAAGCTACCTGCCCATACTGGGAGAGCGCAGACGTCAGAGTCTCATTGGGGGGGGGGTGTTGAAAAGAAAAACAACTGTAGTGACAGGAGTAACTGAGGGAAAAGTGGAACAAAAGATTCCTTGACACAGAGTCGATCCTGGATCAAGAGATTCATAAACTGCTCCTAGGCCAAAAACATCACTATTGATTTGAGACAGATTTCATAGTAATACAGTCAGTAACCTTAGCTACGCTCCAATACATCCCCAGAGAGCAGGAGACAGTAGGCACAGGCGGGACCCCACGTCTGCGGGTCAGAATGTTCCCCTCTATCCCCCCACCCCACCTCATCCCCGGCACCCTGGTTCCCCTTTGTGCCCCCATTCAACCTCAGCTCCTGCCTCTATTGGCCTCTATTTCCCTTTATGTCCATGTCAGCTCCCCCTTGCCCCCACCTTCCTTTCAACTCCTGCCTCCCTTTTCCCCACTTCCCTCTACCCCACCTCAGCTCCCTCCCCCTCATCCTCCTCCCCCCACCCCACCTGCGGTCCTGCCCCTGTGTTCCCAAATCCCATCTACCCCACTTAGCTCCTATCCCTTGGTCTCGCTTCCCCTCTATCCGCCCCAGCTCCCATCCCCTCGTCTCTCCTACTGCCACCTCCGTGGAAGGGCCCTCGAGCAGTTCTCCAGTTCAGCACCCTGCGCTGAGGCAGGACCTAGATCTTCCCTGGCACGTGTTTGTCCAACGTGCTCTTGAAAACCTCCCGTGGCGGGGCTGCCACAACCTCCCGTGGCAGCCAACTCCAGAGCTTCACTCCCCTGAGAGTTGGAAAGATTTTCCTAATAAATGAGGCTAAGATTTTGGCATGGGTATTTTTAGTAAAAGTCACGGCCAGGTCACGGGCAGTAAAGAAAAATTCATGGAAGCCCGTGACCTGTCCGTGACTTTTATTAAAAACATCTGTGACAAACTGGGGAGCTACAGAGTCCCCACACTGCCTGCAGCAGCTGGACAGCTGCAGGGCCCTGGCTCAGAGATCAGGGGTCCCCCATCGCCTGCGGCTCGGAGCTGTGGGTTACCCCCACCGCCCACAGTGGCTCAGAGCTCCTGGGAAACACCGCAGGTGGCAGGGGGACCTTGCAGCTCCCAGCTGCCGTGGGCCGAAGTCATGGAGCTGTCTGGATTCCTAGACTTCCGTGACCAAATCGTAGCCTGACTAATATCTAGTCTAATTCTTCCTTATTGCCGTTTGTGTCCATTATTTCTAGTCCTATCTTCAGTGGTCACAGAGAACAGTTGATCACCGTCCTCTTTATAACAGCCCTGAAAATGTCTGAAGACTCTTATCAGGCCCCCCTCAGTCTTCTTTCCTCAAGACTAAACATGATCTCAGTGAGGAACTCCTTGGGGTGAGGATCAAAGGGGGCATGGGGTGTGGGAGACATTAGATTAATTCTGCATTTCCTTGTTCTCAGAGATTTTACTGTTAGGGTTTCAGCTCCCCACTCTGGAAGGGTTTACGGATCAGAGGTTCTGCTGAGCCACCTTAACTTTACCGATGGCTTTTGTGTGTTAATAACAGAGATCAGCTCTGTGACGGGCATCTGAGCTTATCAGAAAGATCAATGTCCAATGCCTTGTTCAGGCAAAAGTAAATAACCCTGGATGGCCCCAAGAGCACAGAGCAGTCAGACTGGGGAATGACTTAGTGGTTCCTTCCCAAACTCTGCCCTCAGACTAAACTCTGCCCACTTCAGACGTCTCTCACAGCAGACTGTGCGGACTCTCCTTTTCCTCCCTCTCCCCTGCTGTCAACAGCAGCGAAATCATTCACAAAGGCACCATTTAAATGATCATCACTGAGGTTAACACCTCAGCTGATGAGCATGGGGCAGTTCCCCACTCTCGGAGTGATTGTTTCAGGCTCTCTGCAGACTCAGGTAGACAACACAGCAATGGTTATACGCGGGTCACATTCTGAAGGTTTTCTATGTAAGCATTAGAGCCAGAGACTAAATTTTTGCAAATAGTGGATATTTTAGAGAACAAGATGGCCTCACGGGACAGGTGCTGATAAACCATCCTGCTATGTAACCCCCTGATTCAAGCCCTATGATAATATCACAAGCAAAAGTAAAACCTGGGTCAGGATCAGCAGCGACAGCAGATGAGACCGGGGCACGTTTCGATCTATGCTTCAGTGGTTTCACTTTATTTTTTTTCACAATCTTTTCCGAGATGTCAGGCCGGGCCAGGATGAAAGCGAGTCCCT